AATTATTATTAACTTCAGGCTCGGTGGGCAATAGCTGTATACGCCGCGTTAGCATTAAGACACGATTGCATATTTATAAATAGATGTGATCGGGTTGATGATTTATTTTTATCTTTCTCAAAGTTGTAAGCAGATATTTCAGCTCTAATTATTGCTATTTTTTTAATCAGTGGTTAATTTTTAATTTAAAGTGGTTAGTTTTAAAGTTTAATTTTTCATGGAGGCGTAAGTAAATGAAACGATGACATAACTATATAAAAAAAAAAACCTAAGAGAGTAAAATTTAAATAATATTAGTGTACTGATTATAATTTTCATATTTTCGGTTAGCATTTCCATATTTTCAATTTTACAGTAAATAGCAGGTAAACGAGGAGACGAGAAAGAAAGTAATTTAGTGAATTATTAAAAGTATTTTAGTCAGTAACGTTCCATGCACTGTGTTTACATTCCAAGTTTTATAACTCCATATTATTTTGAGTTTTTTTTAAATATTTGCCTGGTCTTGACTTTTGTAAGTCATAACTTGAGATATCAAACAACACAAGCACTGATATAACTAATAATTTATTATACAATTTGGCCTTTTATTAGTAGCATTTAACACTTCTCAACAATAGATAAACGTTAAAAATCAATTTTAACCTTGTTGACAAAAAAAAAATGATGTCGTGCTTATAAAAATGTCGAGGTCTTTTTCCATAAATCACATATTTTCGTTTAAATGCCAAATATTTGTCGGGGCTAAACAAATTAACAGCCCCGCCGAGTTGGGTTAAATTAGACTCAGGGATATTTTTTTTGTCAACTCTGCGTTTTTACTATAAAAAGTGCGATCACGTTGTACCCCAAACACTAATTATCGTACGTACGTGCATGTTCATCGCGGCGATGATAATAATTATTAATTACATAATAATGCGTACTCATAGACCATTAATCGTTGGGGTCTCGGGTGTTCGCTAAACGAGTATAGGAGCTGTTATACGGTGGTGGTTGATGTGACGCGGTTTTTGTGGTCGGTAGACCGAATTTGCCTGCTGGTTTCGGCGGTAATGACACGGCGACCGTGGTGGCAGCGGCAGTGCGTATACTAGCTGCTGCTGCTGCTGTTGCTGCTATATAATCCTTATAAACGACTGTATATTATAGATAATTTAACAGCGCCGCCGCCGCTGCTACTAATATCGGACCGGGCGATTTGTACACGTTCTACAGGCGGCCGTGTGACTATGACGGATAACGTAGGTACGGACCGCCGAAAAGTAAAACCCGTAATGTTCGCTAATAAATTAATTGGTCGGCTGCAGTAAATTAAAAAACTGGTTTTGACTTATGTAGTTGTTTTCCATTTCGACAATCGAATATTATGTTCTATAGCTGTTCTTCTATATGTCGTCCTCCGAAAATGGCCTAACGATTCCGAACGGGGCGCAATCGTAAACCTCCATCTTCATCTCCGTCACTATTAACCATCTCTCTATCTCTGTTTCTCGTTCATAGTACTTTAACGCGATTAGCCGTTATATTATTATCGTTACCTATGTTATTATTATGGTAGTGTTTCTTCTTTCGGCGACGACCACCATCGTCTTCTCCGCACGTCGCGTACAATATATCTTTGAAGACAATACTATTACAATAGTAATAGTAGAATACTTTTTAACTCGAAACAACAACTAAGACCTAGTAGGTACCTATAGAGTGGGCTCTGGCCTGTACAGAAGATAATTTTTTTTCAGATTGCGCCGCGTTTCAACAGAGATAATAACAACAATCATACTAATAGTAGAAATAATATAATATATTTCGTTTCGTTACCGTTTGGAACGGGTCCAAGACTGTGTGCTCGTTTCACGATTGTTTTCCGGATGATTTTGTCGAGACAAAAAAACGATTCTGGCCAAAGTTAAACGGCCGTCGTCGAGCGGCCATCACACGGTTTGGCGCCCGTGACGGCGGCTAATATTAACGCTTAGGCCGTGTCGACAATAAGGAACGTGCAGGACACACACCAGGTCCAATCGTCGCTTGTATAATATAGCCCAGGAATATCCACGTCTTGGTCGATTGACGCGCCAGAGACAAAGTCGTTTGTTTACATCTCTTTTTATATTTTGTTTAACATTATTTATATCATCGTTGAAAAAACTCATTTTTTTTAACATGGATATTATTTACCGCTGAGGGGTCGTTCTAATATTTGCGTGGCATTTCGTGTCACGATTTCGCGTCATAGGCTCTCGGTCACGATTTTGTCAACTTATGAATTTAGCTACAGGGTACTATGCGTAAACCGCAAGGTCAAGCTAGGTTTTTTGTATTTAACTCTCCGACAGATTTCTTATTGTCGATAGCGCACGTTGACTCTACGGCATTATTTTTCTCTTTTCCCGTGCGATTCGGGCAAATAATAATATATCAGTTGGGTATACACCGGACTGACGCGTACGGCTTTATACACAGGCGGAATATATTGTGTTTAGCCGGTATATTACATAATCGCAGGACCTACACACGCTGTCGAATCGAAATAAGTTTTCATTCGCAAACGGCGCGCAGCGTAGATGCGATCACCATTAAAGTAATTGATAATATATTTTGAAAATTTGGGATGCAACCGATACCGTGCTGGAGCGCCAGACAATGCCAAAATCGAGTACAGACTTATGGTGAAACGCCCAGACGTCTGACCTACGCTATGTTTATACGTGTAGTCCTAATGGTTATAAAATATACATTTTATTATTTTGTGTAAATCGGCAGAACAGCCGGACCATAGTTCAAACGGTCACTTGAATGACGTATTAACGACTAATGTAATTATTGGAATAGTTTGGAAATACTTTTGGATGATTACATTTTGGTTTCATACTAACCCGATTATTGTTCACTTTATATTTGCCCAACCTTATGCGGTTCAAGTGTAATAACGACAACAACACGTGGGCTTGTCGTTTACGATTTACTGCCTATTAAAATTGTTTATTTTGCATGGTGTTTTTTTTTATTCTTAGCAAGTTAAGATAACTTTGTTCACGTCATTTTTACCGTAAATATTATTTTTTTTGTCATTTTACCAAGTAAGATTAATAGAGAGATTTATTATCCATATTATATACCTTTGGTACACACCAGAAAAAAGTACCTACTCATAAAGTTTTATGATTAATTGTATTAGCAAAACATTTTCAACCATCTCGATTTACCGGTTATCGGAAATAAATAAATCAATTTGAAAATTTTTTTTTCCTAATAAAGTACTTGGAAATATATTTGTAAGAATCAATAAAAACAATACATTAACCAATGATAAATTGTAGCTTAATCACTCAATATTTTTGTTGTATTACTGGGTGACACTTCATCCGCCAAACGCTATAAGCGATGCGATTTCTTATGCATTGTAAATTAGCATAAAAATGTTCTAAAGAACGGGAGAGACCGAAACGTTCGTTATCGTATTCATTCTATTTCAAGTAAGAAGATTGGATTTGTTTGCGTTTCACGTGTAATAGATAATATCAACAAATTATTGCGCTTTTTTTTTAAGAAACTTGAACATAGTATAAAACAATCGTCGGTTTGTTAAGAAGACCAATTGTTTAATGAAACAATAGAAACTATGATTTCAAATCACAGAGTACATTATTCCCAAACGACAGTATTTTGCTCTCCCGTGTATAAAAACGTCAAGCAGTCCAACGTTTTTACATAACGTTCCAGAAGTTCGACGTAAAATGATTAAGTATGTCGATTATCAATTAAACAGACGGAAACCGCCGTTGACTTCTACTGAGTATATCGACTATAATAATATTATCATTGTGTGTACCCGTGTGACGCTGTCGGACACCATTTTTCTTTTTATTGGGTACCCAATATTTGAACACGGCGTTTGAATTGGCAACAGTATGTGCGTTTTTGAATAGGAAACGAATTTATTTGGCACGACCAACGCTCGGGCGTCGCACGACGTAGAACCAACGCTTACATTTTATATACTTAAAATATATATATATTATTGTGTATAGTGTATAATGAATTTATTCGCAACTCTATATTCTATAATGTTTGTGTGTGTACTATACTATGCTGGTGCGCTGTGCTTAATATATCGGAAGAAAAACAAACCGTTAGAGCAAACGTTCGACGACGGACGACACAAAAGAAAAAGAAAACAAAAGAACACAAGTTAAACACCGGTACGTTTTTTTTTTATTTGTCAGCAAACAAGTAAAGTATACAACATGTCCAGTGTTGGACTTACCGGATATACCGACGATTGCATTGTTGATCGTAATCGCATTTGAGTACTGCGGTTTTTTTTAGTCTTTAATTCCCTAAGTCTCGCGAAGGAATATTGTTTTCGAAGGATATAATATTCTATTATTTAACTTCTAATACAGCTTTCATAAAAACTAGAATTTTTTTTTCAAGAATATAGGCTTAAATAATAATAAAAAACCGATGGCACTTAATATTAGGAATATACAAACAGCCAACCAGGCAATATTAACATCACTATCGTCATTATGGTTGTTGTACGCGAGACAGCCGACGGTTTAAATGCAAAACGGCACACTCGGATGAAGGTTCAACAATAGTGCACTATTTGAACGTAGTAAATCAGATCGTTACTCTTTTTGCTACTACAGGTATTTTTAGATTAGAATATATTGGGGTTCTACTTATAAATTAAACCAACATTTTAAAGAGAAAAGAAATCTAAAATGTAGCAATAATATTCAACATAATATTATGTTTATTTGTATAATCTAGTCTATACCAGCTCATATTCATAATTGTTGATTTAAATTAAATGTTTCATTTTTATATACCTACCTATTTGATGTGATAATCGGTGCCATGTTTATTATAGTTAACGACAGGCGTTCTTGGGCTGTTATAAAATTTCTATTGACAATCATTTGAATTCGTGTAAGATTCCACGACATCAATGAGGTTATAATAATTGTTTTTTTTTTGTTTGATTTCAGGTAAGGCTGTTCCATTCGTCGAACTCACGGTGGCTCACGCGTCTGTACTCACAATACTGGCCATCAGCTTTGAACGGTACTATGCCATTTGTGAACCGCTTAGGGCCGGATACGTGTGCACCAAAACCAGAGCAATGGTCATTTGCCTGTTGGCATGGGGACTGGCCGCGCTGTTTACTAGGTACTTACAAAAACTAACAATATAGTAAAACACAAAACTTTGCAGAAAGGTCAGAAAACTTGATAAAAACGTCATAAATGTTGTACGGCTGTCTTATTAATACGTTTAGGTTTCCAAAAACGTTTCAGATGTTAAAAATAATGAGGGACGTCTACGGTTAAGAATAATTAATCGTTTTTATGACCTTTTATTCAATTATTTTAGCAAAAGAAAAACAGTATATAATATCTACAACCATCGTCACCATCGTTTAGTAGGGTTTGAATTTTGCGGGTCATGTTGTTTGTCTATGCAACCGTTTTTTTTTTATCAATTTCTCTCTCGCTCTATCCCTATCCACGTCAAGTACACAAACGGAAGTCGGGCAATATTTTATACATATAAAACGTTTTTTTTTTTTTTGCGCGCACGGATAGAAAACGTTGAGTTTCTACCGCGGTCATTGCCATATATCACGGCCGCGTCTGCGACAACATCTGTCAGCGTTGGGCCAGAGAGGGAGAGAGAAGTGGAGTCTGGAGAAGTAAATACTCGACGGATAAAAAAAAATAACCAACGGCAAAAACATGCTGGAGACTAGAGGTACAAACGCAAAGAATGAGTGTATTGCCTATACAACAGAAGAGATTTATGCGAGTACCGAAAGAGCTGGGGGTGCTGCGATATGGCCTACGTATACGGTCAATTCTAGGGGGAGGGGGGTGGCTAGTACCGTCGACGCCCCCGCTATACTTCTCTACTGTCGCCAATTATAATACAGTAATCGGTGTATCAGTTGCAACGGTAAAGGTATCATATAAGCCGCGCCGTAAGTAAGTGATTATTTTGCACGGGCATTCAGGGTGACAGCTGGTACACACTGCATAATGCGGTTTGTATCGGTCTGTGGGTTGTGATATTGTTCTGTACGCCAAGTCCATGCACACGCCACGACGTTGGGTGCGATCGTGATCTCATCTGTGCCATAAAATATAATATCATCGTGCGACGTACCTATTAAAATATAAAAGCAATAATATATTATTAATAACGCGGTCGGTAGCGTGCAGACAACAGCGTTGGACGTTCATACGGCGCGGTAGGCGTGAGCACGGCCAGTGTAAACACGTCCGGCGTTTCCGATAGGTGTTGATTATTTAATTTTTCAAAATAATTTATTATATTTTATTAGGTAAATCACGCCGCGAGGATTGTATTCGGCCGAGAAACGTGGGCGGTCGATGACAAATCGATTTTTTTTAAATATTTTCCAAAAATACCTATTTTTGTAATGCAAGCCCGGGCAGTATAACAATTATCATCAAGTATATATTGTGTTTAACGGGTTTCCATTAACTTTATTAAGACTTCATGGGAGTGTTTAGTTTTTTTTTTATGTTCAAAAAACGTGCAAGTATTTCTTCGGTTGTTGTAGGCTTTTTTCTCTTCTATTTTTTTTCTACTACAAATGCATATATATATATATATATATATATAAATCCGTAACGGGCGAATTCCTTTAGGACGACAATAATAGTTATCGACAACGTATAACTACTGAAGAACGACCGTGTGTACTTTTACTATTTTTCTATACACCGGCGACAAGAAAAAAAAAGGTAAGAAAACAGTAGTAACGTCGTCGAGATATCGCGAAAACCAATCGCGGTAGTATGGTTTTTTTGAAAAATATACAAACGATTATTGCGGGCAATTAACGTTGCCGATACCACAAGTATGAGAACAAAACGACTAAAAAAAAAACCGGAATCTCAATTACTAGCGATCGAACGAGCACCGGACGATAGCTATACAAACACACACTGAACAAAAATAATTTAAAAAAAAAAACATACTCCAGCGCAGTGATTACTTTACAAATCCATTTTCATTTCCCCTATTAGCTTTATCGTTTCTCGACAAACCATAAAACTTTTTCATCAAATAAATCCACGCATCGCGGCCAAGGTTTTGAAATAGAGCATCGATGAGATTTACTCATTGCCTTTTCACACACAGTTTAGAAACGAAATCTGGTTTTTTAATAACATTAAATTAAAGAAATAGGCGTTGACGACTATATTTGTAAGACGCCTACGTGTGCTCTGTATTAGACTAAGGAAATTAAACGAATAAAAAAATGTTTGGTATCTGAATTTAAAGATCCTAAATTGTCTCCACATAAATGTTGATTTTTATGAACGCGGTCCTTCCAGTAAGAACAGTCGTTTAAATTCTCCAGGAATCCAGCTCTAAAATCATTTCTTCCAAAGCTTCTCCCAAGTAAACGTACCGTTGTGTTAGTCTATAGCATTACCATCGATTCCCTATTACTATAAATTACTTACTCTTCTAAATCGAGTTTAATTTGATGTTACATAATATAATATTACCCATCTGTAAAAACTATATCTCTCCTTTATTTTTCTAAACCACCAATTTTGTTTGTCTCTGGTTACTCAAAACCATTGAATCAAAGAACAAAAGCGTTTTCATGAAAGATTCAGATATTCACACACACACACACACACACACACATTAAGAGTTGCTGTGTACCTCTTGCCCTTTTTCATTTCCAATTTTCCAGCTCGGTCATTTTTGCAATTCTAAATTGTTTACTTCAGGGTATTTTCGTTTATTGAGTTTATTTATGTTTAAAAAGGAAATACTTTGTTAATATCACCCAGAGGATTTCCAAAGCTCAATAATAAGATACTTCAAAATATATATATATATACACAGATTTACTAGTTGTAAACGTATCTAGATAATAACATTACTACTGCTGTAATATAGAAGAAAAAAAACGTTTCATTCAAGGAGATCTACAGACGTGCGTGACAAAGATAATATATAAATTTAAAAATCTGTCATCAGCAGTATACATATTGAGAGTCTGGATCACTGCGGTCCAGATCGTTTACTAAAATAAAGATAAATAATGGAAAAAGTTACAGACGACAAAATCGAATTTTTCACGTCGATATTTCAGTATTTTTTTGTAAATACACACACACAAGACAGAAAAAAATTAAGTGTGCTCAAGTGCACTTAAGTGTAACCTAAGCTAAGCGAGGTACTGAACTCGTTCAGCCGTGAGTCGTGTAGAAGACACATAAAAATTAACGGCACGAAGAAACCTATGAAGACTCGATACAGGTATATACCGGTCAACAGATGCACCATTACATACTTTTGGGTTAGGGGCTAGCCGTCTCGATAAAAAAAATACCTAATAGTAATTTCTCAAAGAGCCCCGTGACTTTCCCATTGTGTTTTATTATGATGACGTATATTTGCAGAGGATGAAACGCACTAATCCAATATCCGGTAAGGCACATATACCGTGTGTACGGTTCACATGCCAAATAAGTAGAAAAGTTTTGGTCGGTTTCATGAATAAACAAACCGTGGGCCGCGAAAAAATACCATAATATATTGTCTGGAAGCGTGTAGACATATATTATAATAAAATAGTTTCGTTTAAATAACAGTCTTCAATTTTGCATCAATGGCGGTTATTTTAAAAAAACAATATAATTTTTTTGTAAACCGTACCATCTGATATTTTGCCGCAGTTGTATAAACATTTTGATAGAAAAAAAAACTTTTTTTAATCGATAACATTTCTAGAGGATAAACAATTTAAAGTAAACCCGTACAACGGATAGCCTATTTCAAAAGAAAAATTATTATTATCATTTTGAATATTGACCTATAGATAATTATAAATTATAATTACCGAAATTGTTCATTTATGATTTACCATATTTTACCCTTTTGAATTTTGAAGATCTTAAATTAGTCTAAATACGAAAACCTGCTTTTTGATGCCCTTATTCACGTTATCCTCTAACTCCAAAAATATATATTTTTTCCTACTCTATATTTATTCGATAAGCCCCAACCACCTCAATCTATCTAACTCCCAAACTGCCTCGTATATGTACATCATTATTTTTACTTCTACCTAACCTAGGCGTTTAATAAAACCTAAATGTGTATACACTCACATTTTCAAAAGACATCAAATGCGAACAATTATTAATACACGTCTAACTTGGTTAATTAAAATAACTTCACTGTTGCCGGGTGTACACTACAGAATACAGTATATTAAAGCTAGTAACTTATTGTATCAAAAGACGGCTGAAGCACGCGTGCTAATTATTGCTCGGAGTAAATGAAATAATGATTTATTGGAGTAGCATATGTTTGACTGACTGCCAGAGGTTCCAGAAGAAATTTCTTTCCAGCGATAAACCACCGAAAGTTTGGTAATTAACAAATTTATTTATAAGCGCGTTATCTACGGATCGCTATGTATGTATTTTTCACACGGGTAATAATAATTAATATCAGTCGGATTTTATGAAAAAGCCCAGTTCGAAACCAACTCGAGCAAAAGGGGGTTCAAACCCTTTTCTATGTGTGTGTGTGTTATTTTTAAAACCGTCGTTAGTCTTGTTTCTCCTCCGGGCCTATACCAGTGACAGTTATAACAGCCTATACTCTATACACTACAACTGCATCTAACCATATTATTATAGTCATATTTTCCTACCGAAAGCCGACTGGCATTTATTCCGGTCAGTATAATATACTGAACAAACGATCGTCGGTATTTATATTCACAAACATGTTACAAACGATCAAGCATATGCTAAAATAATAATGTAATTGCGAAAAAAAAGTAGGTATTATTTTACTTTTCTAGTTCGCAAGGTGCAGTTTTTTTGTTGAAAACTTGTGTGTGAAAATTGAAAACGGGCATGGAAATCTCATTATAGGTACACTTGACGGTTCCTTCTATTAATTTTAATTATTGGTATTCTGGTGGCATATAAATTGTTTTGGCTCAAAATCAAAGACGTGGTCATAATTCCACTCTGACGGTATAATAATTGTATTTGAACAATTTTTAGTGAAATTTTTTTCTGTGAAGCATAATTTATATTAAATTTACAACATAAATCATGCCTCGTACAATATCATACTTATTGTGCCGGTTGACAGTTACAATCTTTTGGTATTTTTCTTTTTTTTTCCCCCAGAACGACATTTAATGGTTTCAACATATTTTGTTGAACGCATAAAATTAGTTATCATATTCTTTCTGTATAAAAAAATTACTTATAAATTATCATAATATCACCCCATCTTATATCGATAAAATGTGTATTATGTCGTACATTTTAAAACATATCAACAAAAAAAAAACAGTTATTTTATACCAGATATTTTAAAGATACCATTTTATCAAATATAATATACTTTGATCAATCATTACAACGTTTTTGAGTTATAAATACTTTTTTTAAATATTGTTTGTTTAAGCTGAGTACTTCGATTGAAAAGTAAATAAGAAATATTGTTAAGTTAAAAATTTTGTCTCCACCGGAAATGAAGAAATTCGAAAAGAAATGCACATTTTGGCAAACAACCATAATATATTTTATCTATACACAACATATTTGTGCAAAAGTAGGACGATTACTTTATTAGGTCACTTGTAATTGTATTTGTCCTCGATAAAAGTTTATGGAAATAAGAATCGATTAGAAGAAATAGTTCTGTAACTTATACACAATTGGTTTGCTAAAGACAATTTTTTTTTTCAATTAAGTATCCACGTGTTTTATTTATTGAAAAATTATATATTATATTATGTTTATGATTTAAGAAAAAATATTTAAAATGTGAAAGCCTCCATACGTTTTTTATATTCAGAGAGAAATTGTTTTTTATTTATCCGAAATACCGTTTGAAGTAAAACCAGATAAATAGTATTATTAATATAAATAATAATCCTTCGCCAAATAAAACATAAGTTATTCTAAAAAGTTATCTCATTTCTCTTCTTTTTTTTTTTTTTTGTGAATCTTTCGTTTTCTTTTCTCTTTTTGTTTATCTTTATTTTGGGCCTTCTGATAAAGTTTCACGGCGGAAGAACGTGGAGGATGTTCATAATTTTCGTTTAAAATATTTTATCTTACCAGCTTCTTTACAAAACTTTCGATTACATGGCCTGTTTTTTTTTTCTTTTTAAACTAGGTACCTAAAATAACAACAATAACTACATGTCTTAAATGAGTCACATTGGATCGACTAACTGCGGTATGCGACACATCTAAAACGAACTTTAAAGGAGAATAATATCTTAAAATAAATCAGTAGAATTAAAATTCTAAAAATAAACATACAGCTTGTAATATCTTAATAATATCTTGTATATTTTCTGTATGATTAACTGTCGCCTAACCAAAACAAATAGACGACATTAAAACAAAATATAAGATATGAAGGCGCGTTGAATGGTTGATGACTAAGGATCAGACAAGCTGTTGGATGACGAAGGTTAATGTGTTCAACACTAATTGTGTGTTATGATAGTCGATGAAGAAGTAGAAAATGGTTTTCCGTATTAAAAATGAATTTGAAAATTTTATGTAAAATGATATATATATATATATATATATACTTTTTAATTTAGTAATTAGCTGTAGAGTTTTTATCATAATAGAATCTTGGGTTTGTTGTAAATTACCCTTAATCTATTTACTTAGTTTGACTTACAAACAAAAAAAAAACCTGTCCCCTCGGCTTAGGAAAACATTTTTTTTTTTGCGCTAAAAACTCATTTAATGAAAACGCTAATATTGCGTTTTTACGGGCCATTTCAATTTCAATTGTGCCTATATCTATATAAGATCTTTTGGGAAGTTGATATTGTCGATCGTGCCGTTTTCCTATAAAAGAGATTTTACCTTATTTACTATACAGAATAATATTGATAACAGTATACAATACCGCGGGGCGTCTAACGTGGTTTTAAACGACGAGGAGGCTGAGGGGGAGGTGGGGGGGGGGCGACTCCGGAGTACAATATAAATGCAATATATTTTTCGGTTATACAATAATAATAATATTTCTTTTTTCTTTTTTTCTCGATTCGATCAAATATATTATTCGGCGACCGGCTGAAAGAGCTCTCTCGTTTGCCAATTAAAATCCTGCACGGATTTTTGATAAGTTCTCCCGATCCCCTCGACCGGCCCTTTGGCGACCGCCTTGGTCTCCGTTTTCGTAAACCTCTCACGACCGTAATTACATAATCCCATATAAGAACACCACGAACTCCGATTCTTGTCGTCCCTTAGATAACTAACGCGCCATCGCCGCCCCTTTTCTGCTCTCTCATCGCCATCGTCACCGTTACTTCACGTTCGTTTCGCTCTCCTTCCCACATCTCTGAAAATCTTTATATTGCATGCCGTAGGTATAACACACTGCTGTAATATTGTTATACGGTTTGGGCCATGCACGAATCTCTGATTCTCGGTTAGGTATAAACAATGAAAATGGACTGTCGCCGCCGCCTCCGGTGAACACAATATAGTATAATAAAATACAAAAGAAAGTCCCAAGACAGCAAGTACCCCACAGCTGTTGTTTATAAATCCCTTGACGATCGAACCGATCAATCGTTATGTTTTCAAAGTTATACCGTATTATATTAGTCATACGATTTTACTTTTCAGTATAACATTAGGTATTCATAAAAAATGATTTATTATTTTCAATTGCGTGTACGGCGTATTTACTCAACTACATTTCACCTCCTACATTGTTTAAAGTTAGTAATTTAAAACTGATTAACAGTTTGTCGATTAGTTTACGTTTAATGCCATTTAAATTTATATACCATAGCTGTTGTTAAGGCTCTACGAAAAATTTAAACAAGTCTAAAGTTTGAAAATGTTAAGAACAGTGTAGAATTATTATATTATATTATGATATTAAGAAAACCGGTATTCCCCTTTCTCTAACTTTTTCTACTGAAGGTTAGAGGTACGATAGGTTAAAAAATGTCTAGCTGTAGGTACTGAAAATATTTATAATAAATTATAATGATTAATGTCAATTAAAACAATTTTGTTGCTATTTTAGGAATTCAAATTTGAATGTTTATTATTACTATCGTCTATCGTATTATGTTTATTTACTTAATAACGTGATAGATATATATATAAATACACACTACATGTATATATTTTTAAAATCTCTTTTATTTAAACATGCAATCTGTAAATTTGTTTTTAAAATAAGTATTGTTCTTAAAACTACAAGAATAGAATTATATTACATGATTTTTACATGAGGATATATATATATATATCAGTGAATAGACTGTGATTGTCTTACGGCGGACCAGATTCCGGTAACTGATTTCGACCAGTGACTGAAAATGACGGTTCAATTTATTTTAATGTTTTTAATTTCATATACTCGACAATGCGTTCTATATGTTAAACCTACACTGCACTGGGCTCCCTACCAAATATTCTGTTATTGTCTTCTGTTCGCAGTCCGATCACAATGATCTCGGAATACACGCAAATGGACTACATAGACGGCACCAAAGTGCCGGTGTGCCTGACCAAGGCGAACACGTTCTGGCCAATAGCGTTCTTCATAGCCATCATCAGCACGTTCTTCATCGTGCCGCTGTTCGTGCTGGTCGTGCTGTACACGGTGATCGCTGCACACCTTATGGCCGACCCGGGCACCAGCTGTACGGACAGCGCGTGCAACCAGCGGGCGCGCCGTCAAGTAGTGCTCATGCTGGCCACCGTTGTGCTGTCGTTCTTCGTGTGCTTGCTGCCGTTCCGCATATTCACCATGTGGATCATACTGGTGCCCGAGCACACGTTCCTCGACCTCGGTGTCAAGCACTACTACATCATACTGTACGCGTCCCGGGTCATGGTCTACCTCAACTCGGCCGTCAACCCCATACTGTACAACCTTATGTCGTCCAAGTTCCGGCACGGGTTCTGCAAGCTGTGCCGGTGTAGATCGCGGAGCCGGCGCGGACGTCGCCGGGAGCTCGTTCGGTTCCGAACGGCCGGCACGCTCACCACCACCCTGTCGCAGTCCAGCGGCTCGCCGTGGATACCGCCTTCGCAGCGGCTTTTAGCGGACGGCGGCGGCAAACACAACGGTTCCGTACGGCGGCACGCCATGGCCACGCTGCTCAAGCAAAACAGCCAGCCGGCGATCAAGAGCTGTTTTGTCGACGAGTGCGACCTCAAAGAGAGTTTTGTATGACCGCCGCTGTCGCAGTTAACCTTAAAAAATATTATATTTGTATACCTTTTTCTTTTTTTACAAACTATTATCGTGTAAATAATACCTATATAATATGTGTAGTTTTTTTGTTATAAAATCTATTTGTTTCTCCCTCTTATGATATAATGGAAAAGGAAAATATTTCTTTTATAAACTACATACACTTATTTATTTACAGCTTAACGATCGCAGCAAACCAAGATATTTCCCCTATAAATATGTTGTCCCGATAGTTTTACTATTTTACATTAAAATTAACATAACAATAAATGAAGCGCGGTCTTGAGATTTACTTATTTTTTGTTTTAGTACAATGAGAATTATTTTTAGTGCTTCTTATTTTATAGTGGCTCATAAAGTTCCAGAAGCTAATTTAATTGTGCGATTTGTAGGTCCTCGGAAAGTTCTAAAAATAGGGCTTTTAAAATTTCGAGAGTGCAATTAATGGGTTCTGCCATTTAGAAATATTAAAAGTTTAATCGTTAAATGCATTCGGTTGACTATATGAAATACTAAAATATTCTAAAGGATAAATGCTAAATAATTTTTATACATTTTCAACTGCCATTGCAAATAATCTACCTTAAACAAATTTAAAACGACTTATTTTTTAATTTTAAACAATTCAATTTTGTATTATCTATTTGATTCATACTCTTTTTAAGTATTCCTACCTACTATTGTACTATCCTTGCCGTGTATCCAATTTTGCAGTTTAAGTAAATACTATTAAAATTATAATATTACCAGCTAACTCATTCACTCTCCTTAGGCTCTCTCACATTCAAGCATGATGCAATTTTACTCCAATTATTTTGTAAATAACCATTAGCTTCTTTAAATATCTCTCAGAAGTCATTAATATCTTGCCTGAAATTTGTATTCGTTCGGCCCATCGTATCCCTATCCAGCGCACTATTTTTTTAATCACTACCACACTTTGTCTGTGAAATAATTTACATTAATAAATAGTATTTAGTATTGCAAGCGCGTCCGCATTACGCGGGCTTCATTGATATTTAAAACACGGTAACCGCCGTTGCATATTTATGTACATATACTGAACCGTATTAGTTATAAACCATCAAAGGCTGGTACCATTCAACAGTAATTAATCGATCTTAATTGGAAAAATAATCTTCACCTACAAAAAAAAAATTAAGAAACGTTTTCTCACTTTAAAAACGAGTTTTTTAGACTAAACTATTAAAATAACAATTACGTTAAGAACCATTGATGTTTTATAGATTCAATTAGAACGCTTTAATGTGTTTAGTATGCTTAACATTATAATATATTCCAATCATGTTGCCGGCACGTCCCACAAGCAGCCTAGACACCTATATTGGATTTGAATCGTTTTCCTTTTGTCGTACAACAACAGCTATAATAATAATAATAATATGGGTATCGTTTTCAAAATGCTACTTGACATTCCTACCGGCTTACTTGCCCCCTCTCCCCTCTAGCACCCAATCAGACCGCCCCTTCCTTAAATCGTCCCTTCTATACATTATATACTAATATTATTGCTATTTCAACAGACGGAGTGGCGCTATTTAACCGTTTACGTTTTTATTAATTATTACACGCACGTTCTAAATAAACTACAATTATATTAGCAAATTAGACTTAATGTAGTATAAATTTATTTATATTTTGTAGAGATAAAAAATTATAATTATTATGATACGCTCATGCGACTAGTCACGGACCTTTATATATTAATAATATGTATTTATTTTATTGCGATTGTATACATTATACATTTGTTTAACGTCTGGCGGCAGACTCTTGATTCTTCTGACAATGTCATATTTCCAGAATTTTTCCAGAGTACAGTTTTTAGTTTTAATTGTTTAATTATTATATATAACAAATAACTGAGAGTGAGAGTATAATATAATGACAATAACTTCATACCTTATGTTTATCAACTAAACTAAACAATTGCAAACATGCACGTAATATATTCAAGTTCAATTAGATAAATATGAACATTTTTTATTATAAAAATGTTTGTGCACAAACAAAATCATTGCTTTTTACATTTTTTTTAAATAATATTAAACGATTTTCAATAAAATGAATGTTTTACATATTCTTTGTAAGCCGCAAGACATTATTTGGGTTTTTTGTTTCATAACACGTATGGGAATTAGATACCTATATCTACTACAATCGATCAAGTTGATTGCCAACTAAATTATCATTCTGGCCAAGACAATTTTTGCAATTCTTTGTACAAAAAAAAGATCTTTGAAGTAAATCTGTTCTGTTTTGATTGAACGTGAATGATACGAGAGTTGAACTTCGCAACATTTTTTTTTGGACAAACTTTTATATTATATTACGCCAATCGATAATAATATTACGTTATGATTTATATATATTGACATTTGTAAGTGTATACTATATTATTGTACTTATACCTTCATTTTGATTGTGTATTTTCAAATAGTATGATATTATTTTCTACGAACAATGGTTCGCGTTTATATATTGTTTTTTTTTTTTAATTTATTATTGTTGTGCAGTTAAAATAAAGGTCAAAGACTGTACCGCGGTACATTGTTATTATTATTTTTTTTTTTGCCATATACCTACGGCTGTGTACATGTTTGACTTTTGACGGAACCGGTTAAAAACGTATAAATCGCCAGCACCGCATAGTAGTATAATAATATTATATTGCCTACAAGATTTATGCCTATGACTCTTAATCATAACGACAATAATATTTATTTAATACTATTGTAAGGCACGTTGTTGAGCATATACATTATTATTGACTAGCGGTACCTATATGTACCTATATGTACGTTATGATAGTATAATAATATATAGCGAATCCTGTGACGGCTCTTGTAGCCTAGTAAATAGCATAACGTACCGGTTAATAAGTTAAAGGTTGATGTAAATCACGGTAAAGACTTGAGGTCAGATGGCGGGAATAGAAAAATTTAACTGCTATTATGAGTATTTTTCCAGTTTCGAGTAGACTCAAGAGTTAACTACTGTGGTATGATAACTAGGATATGGAACGGATGATAATCGCCGAAAACTTCTTCCAACCGTGTCTGGATCAAATAATATATATGATTTTGCATATTATAGGCGTCGTCCACAATAACACCACATATTGTGTTGTAGTGCAATATTGTTTGATAGGACACAATCGCATTATAAGTATTGTAAGTTCATCGTCGGAGAAGGTCGACGAAAAAACGGTAGTATTTTTTTTTTTTTTTTTGTAATTTTTTTAATTATTATAGCACATTTTATTATTTTAATAGGCTTATTTTGTTTCGACCGAATACATAAAATCACTATGTTATAATTGTTTCTATTTGCTTATAATATTATGTATTGGCCAGGACGTGTTCACTTGAGTACCGCTTTCGATGTGATCTGTATAGTTGACACTTGATGTATCTTGTATAATTATTATGTATTTGATTCTGTTGCGGTCAACACATGCGCTACAACAATAATAATAATGATAATGATGATATTAAGTTTAATAAAAGTTCCCCTAATCTATGATGTTACTTAAATAACGGCTGCCAAAGTTTATAAAATGTCCCTATATAAAATGTATAATTACCCTTTTGGTAAACCGCAGCCAACGATCACGTTATCATTATTATTGTTATTGTTATTAACGCGCTCACGGTTTATAAGACCAGCTATAGATATTGTGAATTGTCATTCGTCATATTATTAATTATAAGGTAATAACGTTCTTTTCTTCTTTTACTATTTTATACCTATAACTGTGTACACGGCTTATGCTTTATAACAATACATACATTATACGCATTAATGTGTAATGTAAAACACAGTTGAGCTATGCGGCTTGTTGTAGGCATAATATGATCATGTTATTATTATATTAAACTGTCGAGACGCTTTTGTAATGTTGTTGGGGCGAAGCTCTGGAGCGAATACACATTTTAGCGGCAGTGTCGCCTGATAAAAAAATGTTTGAACTACTTGACTACCGTGCAGTTAAAATGGAAAATACGCAAGCACGTAATGTAGTTTTGTGTAAGGATATCGGATTGCGCTAATCGTCAACGCTATCCGATCACTTGTAAACTGTTACAATGTATAATGTTAAACATTATAATATTATTATGATAAACGGTTTTCGTGTACTCGTATGTTTATTTTTTTGTAAATTGTCTTGTTCGTTCCGTCCGTTAACGATTTTTCCTATTTATGTATTTTTAGTAATAATATTATAATACACACGTTTACACAAAATATAGAACGCATTTTACTATCGCACCCTAATAATATAATGTAATAGTAAAAATTTAAGATTCGACTCGTCGTTGCTATCAACCGCGACGACAACAGCTGTGTATAAAATAAAACGCCATATTGGTTTTTGGGCTCTTCGCTTTTATAGTTTTTCACGTACACAGTACACACTTTTGTTTCCCTTTTGATGTCGCACTTTAACGCCAAAATCGATAACGTTAAAACATTTATTTTCGTTTTTCGTCATTACTATTTGTATAACCTAACCGTTTTACGTGTGTTGTGTTCCAGTCCCATGCTGAACTTGCCGGACTACCACTACGAACCGTACGTGGACGACACGATGGTGCCGGTGTGCCGGACCCAAGCCAGCGGCCTGTGGCCCGTGCTGTTCTTCGTTGGCACCATATCGGTGTTCTTCGTGTTGCCGCTGGCCGTGCTGTCCGTACTGTACGTGATCATCGCCCGGCACCTGATGGCCAACCCGGGTATCGTGGCGCCCAACACGAACAGGGCGGCGCTGCGATACCGCCGGCAGGTGGTCCTCATGCTGGGCACCGTGGTCGTGTCGTTCTTCTTGTGCCTGCTGCCGTTCCGCGCACTCATCCTGTGGATCATACTCGCCCCGCCCGAGTACAACATCCTGGAGGACATCGGCGCCAAAAACTTCTACCTGCTGTTGTTCTTCTGCCGCATAATGCTGTACATCAACTCCGCGCTCAACCCGATCCTCTACAATCTGATGTCTTCGAAATTCCGGGACGGGTTCCGCCGACTGTGCGGCATCCGTCGGCGTCCGTGGAACGACCGGCTTCTGGGACGCAAGGGCACAGTGACCACAACGTCCGCGCACACCGGCACCACGGCCACGTCGTCCAGCCAGCGCGGCGAACCGGGCGAGACGGTAGCCCTGGCCGCGGCCAAAATGTACACTAGAATGAAACGAAACGGCATCACCGTCATCTCCATCGAAGAACATTCCAAGTCGGACGCCATCATCAGGCGGCTGAACATCACCACCAACATAATAAAGTTGCAGCAGGAGAGTTACGTTTAATCCGCGAGAACATCCTGAAAGTGTAGCTCACGCGGTGTCCGGGACGTTAGATCAAACCACCAATATTTTGTGCACATATCACACCATTACATATCCCTTAGAACCTATGTGAACTAATAAACCAAAATCAAAAATCATTACCCCCCCCCCTCCCTTCTACTGCGAGTTTACGGCACCACCGTACAGATACATCAACGACGGACTAATACTATTAATTTAAGCACTAATTAACCAAAGTTACCTGTTCAAATTTCAAATACTAAATTATGGTGGATTTGTTTTGTATTTTCGTCGAAAATTTATTTTCATTCAATTATTGAAAGCATATTTCATTTTTTTCATATATATACTGATACTCGTGTCTGGTGCCGTTACTTTTAATAGAAAATTAATGCAGTATTTATGACGTCAAAGCTTCCTAAATAATATTAGTTCTAGTAATTTGAATATTATAAAAAAATAATTTTCGAACAAACAAATTTTGTTTGTTTTCAAAAAGTCCAAATTGATCAACATTTATAAATCATTAACCCTACACGAACGTACGCTAAATGTTTGGTACAAATACAGAATTTGCATTTTTATATTTCATATATTATTTTAAATTAAAAAAAAACAAACTAAGACTTTGTTCTCGTTGCGTACAAAGTTTCTGTTAAAAAAAAAATCATAGAGTTTTTTTCTGTCCTGGATTTAAAAATAAAAACTTTTTGTCTAAGTAAAATATTTTCGTAAGATGTACAATTTATTTATCTTAAGTTATTATAATCTTCAGTCAAAAATAAATCATTTGTTGTTAATATTTAATATATTTAGTCGTGTTAAGTTCTTCGTATTTCTATTATAGATATGTATATTATTAGTACCGAGGCATATAAATTAGAATAGGTAATATAACAGATAATGTGCGTGAGCGTTTGATTAAAAGTCGTTAACTAATATTGTTTTCACATTCAGTAGCACATTTTGCAAAAAAACTCTTTTTAATCTTTTAACACTATATAATGTTGTTTAAAAGGTATTAAACGCCATCATTAAAGCGGTATCACTTCTATGACTTTTTCGGTTTTTATTTTATCAATAAAATGTTGCAGAATAATCTAAAAATATTCCACACAAAAATGTATACAATTTTACTTTGTATCGGTTTGGTTCAAAGTAAAAAAATGGAAAAGTCGATCTTTTCAATTGAACGCTCACGAATATTGTATTATAGGAAATACTTTGTCTATACTTAAAGCACAGGGAACTTTCAAGTATTACTACAATGGGTTAATTTTCGTTCGTCACTGGTTGACCAGCGTAATACCATCCTTTGAATGTTGTACACACAAGCCGGTAGATTCAATCTGGGGCGAGTTCACCCCGGCGTCTGTAATTAACATGTATATTGTATTCCGTTAAGACACGTCTTAATAACACTACTGATACATTATGATAATATACACTTTGAAATTTTGCGTGTAGCTTTATGTAAACCACCGAGGCCCTCGCGTTTTACCAATAATTTATAAGTAAAAATAATAATAGTATATAATATAGCTAATTAACTATTATTTGTTTGTCTTGCAACCCCTGTATTATAAGAGCGGTACAAAAGCTCCAACTATATAATTATTATTGCATTTTAGTTCCTTTATGTGAGTGTTTTGATCAATCAACCTTATTTCCTTTATATTGTAATACAACAATATATTATTATACTATCAACGAATACGATTTAAGTGTACCATGTGATAACAATAATATTATAACGCTCGCTAACTACACAGTGAAAATCATCTACCATTATAATATCATTGTGTATTTGTTTTTGTTTACCTACATATTTTATAATAATAATATTATTATGTTCTTTATGTACAACTAAATAATAAGTAAACGGTACTCCTACACAATATATATATATATCATATATCATTTGTTTTCAATCTATTGTTTTTTTTTATATTGTATTATTAATTTTCTTTATAAATTTGTAATTATTTTTTACTACGGTAACGGCCGATCAAATGTGCGTACAAATTTTACCAAAGTCATTGTTGTACAAACATATAATTATTATAATATATATTATTAATTATTATGTTTAACGTAATAAATGCGTCAAGACGTCCCGTTGAAATAAGAAAAAAATATTTTTTTTTATCCTTTTACCAGCCGTTTTTTTACGAAGGTATAAAATAAATAAAGTGCACTAGTCTAATGTACAGAGTAAGGGACAGAGAACACGTCTTAATGTGACGTATGGAGATTATAATGGATCTACTCCAAGTTGGAGCGAAATAACTTCAGTTGTACAAGCATTGTTGTTTTGCTAAGACGTCTACAAGATGTTATACAATTATTAAGATTTGCCAAATTTGAAAGGATTTTGAGTTTATTTACTAAAATAAATGTACCTCCTAATATCAATTAAAAAGGTGTTTACACAGTATGTGTTTTTGAAACTCGGCCAAAGATAGTAAGTGAATTCGTAAACCAATATAATATATTTTACTCTTCCGGCTATTAATATTTTACTATAACTGAAAGAACATAGAAACGAAAAATATTACAATAAAATATCATAAAAGTTTTATTCGAACAAAAATCGGCCTGTTATACAGGGAACATATTACCTACTCTTTAGAAACAAATACTAATTTATAATTTTTCCATTGAACTCCTATGTAATTTAATATATACTCAAGTACTTAATATTAAAACTTTTTTGAAAAAAAAGAATAGTAGATAGACGTTTTTTTTTTTGGACGCAGTAAACACAAAAGGTTGTATTACCCACTTAAGTTTATAATAATCTGATTTGTATACAAACAATTAAATGTAAAGATAATAATAATTCAGGCACCATGCATTTTTAAATAGGTACCGATCCGTTAGATTATGGTTGACCATTGAAAATAAAACATTGACAAAAGATATTTATGGAGGACACGTGGGCACAATTAACGCATAATTTAATAGAAAGGTCAACAACTTGAATGTTTGTGAAAGCAATTTATGTGTTTGTTCAGGTCATATTGTAATTGGAATTATTAAGAGTTAAACGTTTCCAGTTGAATAATCAAGTTTGATATTTATAACAAACAATTCGATTGAGTCAAGTAATACTTTTCATTTTTGGGCAATTAAATTTCAATCAGCAGTCATATGCGTACATTTTGTGGAACAATCGGGCATAAGCAATTTAAACTATTTACCACTACATTTTTAATACCCGTAAGAATTTTAAGGGCCCCAATCCGAAAATTATTAGCGCAAAATGGCATGACCTCGTCAAACGAAATAATCTATTCAAATTATATTTAATATCCATAACACCAACATAAACGAACCGAGCAAGTATATTAGGTAAAATCATTTACATAACAACCTGATATATAATTTGCCAAAATTTGAAATTTATATTGTACATCTGTGAACTGAGCATACAAAATCACTGGCATACCTCCAACGGGTACACATAAAATATTGTCCAGATTGAAAAATATAATGGCTTATAGGGTTAAGGTGTAGATTTTTTTTATTTATTATTGACCGTATTAAAAAATCACTCACTTCTAAACGGTGTTGTGTTGTAAAAAAAGTGTATAACGTATTACCATTGTTAGCCCGTTGACTAAAAGTAATAGCCGAAAGTTCTGGGGAAAAACTTTTAGATTTTTCATTTTTACCTCAGCGCAACAATGGTAAATTGGAATGTATATTCTATTTTTTTCTAACTCTCCAACATACTTGTTTTTTTCCCTTATACTATGAAAACGGACTAATTTATTATAATTAATAATAATTATTACTATTTCATGATACGCGGTCTTAATGCAATAATACTGATGTTATGTCGCACATTGAGACATATCCGTCCTGGGGGAAGGGAGGGGCGGAATGTAGTTAGCACAAGACGAGCAACCCCTTGTCATATTCGTGTTTTCCTTTTTCATTTTGACAGAAATTATTTTTTATTTATTGTAATTTGTATATATCTGTCTATCTACTACCATCATACTATAGCTGATAATGACTATATATTTTAATGCTTTTTTAAGTTTCCACTTTTTTTTTACAGATGGACAACGACAACAAAGGTCCTTAAACTAAGACGATAATTGTTTATTCTTCATCTCAGTTTCATAATCATTACTAATTACCTGTGTGTTAATTTTACCTTATAAAACTTGAACATTCTTCCAAGTATAGGTTATCATTGAATTTGGATAGAAAACAATAATAACACAAACTATTTTTATACACATCTATATTCAAAATCAAAAAAATAGATATATTTCAATTTTAATTTTAGCAATTATATGGTTCTTAAAAAAAAAAAAAAATACAATGTACTATGTTTTGGTTGTTCTTTTATTTAAAAATAATTCATTGTACAACTAGAATTGGGTTTGTATATGAAAGTGTAACAGACAAAACATAATGTCAAAGAAAAGAAATAAAACAATTGTTTATGAAGTACTCTATTTAATCACAGTTTTAAAGGCATGAAATATAACGTATGGTAATTAATAATATTGTTAATAGAGGACTAGGACCTTAATTTTTATAATTTTTTTTCTTTTTTATGTAGAAAATAAATTGTATAAAATGTTATATAAACACTATACAAGCAGTAACTACTTTCAGTCATTCAAATTGATTTTTAACATACGTAATGTACCTACAAACATATTATTAGTAAAATAATAATACATACATTTGCATGAAAAACACATTAATAACGCAGACCATTATTGAAGGCTGCTATTTTTTAGAATACACTATATACGTTTAACATGCACTTATACAACTATTATTTAAACATATATTAAAAAATAATAATAATAAAATAACTAGTTAGGTATGAAATTTAACAAGATTAGGTATACTTTTTGTCAATACCAATACAAGGGCAAGTTTATTTTTCGACATAGCGAATACACAGTTGTGGCAAGATCTAGCAAACAACGTAATAAAAATTAGCTGCCTGTTACAAAATAATTAATAATAATAATAAGGGTTTTATTGCAATTTATTTAATAACAATTCAAAACATTTTTTTTCTTAATCTAAAACATTCACTAAAGTTAATAAAATCACTATGAACTTTGAAGGCAATTACATTTATTTACTTTTGTTAAATTCATGGAAGACTAAAAAAGTTTTTAAAAAAAACTGTAAAGAATAATCCATTTGTGTGCGTGTAGGTATATTATCGATTTTAAAAATAATGGCAATACTCGAATACACAAAAATATATACACACACTGCACATATTATGCCCATTCCCCACAAAATAATTCAAATTTCTAATTTTTTCTGTAATAGCTACCGAAAAACATTGAATTTTTACTTTAAGAAACGATTGTAAATAGTAAAATTATTACCATGAAAATTTTAATAACTATTGAAAAATTTTTTTTTAAATTAATAAGAAATAATAATAATAATAAAACATTGTATAGCGTTTTAAGTAGGTTTAGTTTTGAGAGGGTGATTTGCAGCCATTGTGCGAATATGCTTATAGAGTTTAAACAATGTTTAAAATTATAGTTAATCCAAACTTAAAAATAAAATCACTTAACAATATCACTTTATCAACAGCCAAATTAGTCGTGTCAAATAATTTAGGTGACATACAGTTGGTATAGTCAATAATCCACAAAACAATAAACAATTTTATCATAAACATCGTTCTTAAATAGGTAATGTAATATATAAAATGGAGTGTTTGTTTAACATAGTGCAGAGGATCTGTACCGTATTAACTACATTTTACAAGTAAGACATGAATTCCGATAAAGGTTTTTTAAGTAAGAAACAATATATATTGGGAAAAAAAAATTGAATTAATATAAAACGAAAATAGTTTTTTTTTAACTTTTAAGATAATTTTTAATATTTTAATGTACATAATATATAATAATTGTTTTTATTTAATATTTAAAAAAAAAAATTGTTTATCATGATCATGAATTGTTTAAATTACATTTTTGTATACGAAAATAAAAATATTTTACGATAAAGAAGTTAGAAAAAAAAGACATAAGTCAATAAGTGTATGCGAGGAAAAAACTGGAGATAATCTCAAAGAGCAGCAAGAATGTATTAAGTCACCTGAACTCTATCGAGGTAATGTTTCATCAACTTTGGATTTCATCGGCAATTCTATTTTGTTTATTTAAAAAACATGGATCCTTAATAGGAACTGGTTTCGACCTCGGTGACTGTGTTTTCTACAAAAAAAAAATATACATATTAAATTCACACAAGAATACAAATATATGTTTATATTAATTGTAATATATAAATAATTAACAAGATCAAATGTCTGTTAAAGCATTTTTAAGGTGAATATTTATTTTTTCATTTAAAAAATATTTATAAGTTTTGAAGTTATGACGATTTTAATGAAAAATAATTTTGACCCGTGTTAATCAATTGTGGAAAGCATGGTTCTATACAAACTATAGAATTTTCCTAGAGGTCTGAAATTTTTAAACATATATTCTTTTTGACAAAAAAAACAAATTACAGAGGTAGAGCAAAACATTTTTTTTTTTTTTGCAAAAATATGGTAAAAACATATCATAGGTAATTAAAAATTATCTGAAATTACTATCTAAAATAAAATGTTTAAAATAGAAATATTTCAATATCATAAATATTTATGCAAATTATACAGTCTCTGGGAAAAAGCTTTAGTTGTATTAAAATTATTAATAGTTGCTGACATAACAATTGATTATTATGCCTACCTAATTAAATTATTTGGTTTTGAGAATAATGAACTAAATTAGGATTTTGATAATTGAGAATAATTTTTAATATATTATTTTATTTAAGAGGCCTCTACACCTTTGTTTTTTGGTCAAAAACAACTCATTCTAATTCAACGTACTGTTCCTAAGAATACTCCAATTTAAGTTTTGAAAAAATATTTGAGTTCTTAAAAACATTTTCAAGGCATCGGTCGTGGCACAATTTTAAATTTATTTTCAGTTTTAAAAAGTTAAAAATTGCATTTTTTTATATTGAAATAATTAATTAAATAAAAATAATTGTATCAGCCTATTAAAATAAATAATATAAACCCTTAAATTGTTTTAAACATTTTATAACATATTTTTGCCAATGGGGTAATGTTTAAAAAAATGTTGTCAACATATTTTTAAAACATTATTTCAATCAGTAAAAACAATTTTTTTAATGTTGTGAAACGCCGTTAAGATAATTAAGAAGTATCTAATACTTGTGATAACAGACAGTCTCTACGGCACAGTCCAGAGGGAATTATATTTGGTACTCTCAAACCTAAGATTGAAGCCATCCCAACTGTGCCACTTGTTATTAAATTGTTGTTTAGTATACAAAATAGTAAAGTAAAATCAAATTTTAATTATATCCCTTTAACATTTCATATTTGAAAATAAGAATTTTAGAAAAACTCACTCTTCTTCTAAATGGAAAGCATCCAGTCTTTTCTGGTTCAGGCACTAAATCTAAAATTAAATCTGGTGGTCGCGTTTTATCGGGCCCAAACACATTGAGTTCTTTATAACAACCCATTTCAATCATCTAAACAAACAATATTATTTAGAATCGTACCTAAGACATCATTTTTTTTTTTTAATTTGCTGGTTTCATACTTCATACTGCCAAGGAATAGATACAGAGCCAGTATTAAATTTGGTATAGAACGTATCATCCGTAGCATCTAAGTTGACACCTTTCACAGTCGAGAACTGTTCAATGTCCAATACATCTTTGGCATATACAGCATGCGGCTATAAAACAATAATTAAAAAGTTAAATAAAAATTCACAATTTCAAAATACGAATACATACATCTGGAATGAAAGGCGGATCTTCCAAACCAGCCTCCAGTCTTTTCCAATTAATTATCCTAAAGAACTCATGTTGTTTTACTTCTCTAGCACCATAACGTCCACAATGGCAACCGAGCCGTGATTTAGGAGATTTTTTCAGTAGCTAAAAAATGAATCTATTTATTTAATAACATGACTACAGATTTCTACAACTTGAATTTATGACTATACTTGTTTGCACAATAATTTAGCTTCCTCAGTGAACTTTGAAGAATATTTTTCTTGTTCTTCTTTTACTCTTCTATCCACCACTTCGCGCTTGACCTAAAGACAATATATATCACATAGTAGTTCGTAATCACAATATTATATATAAAAAATAAATGGAAACAACAATTTATTTACTCACTTTTTCTTTACGAGCTCTAAATGGGGCTTGACCTTCTATCATCTCAAACACTAAACATCCAAAGCTAAACCAATCAGTGCTGTACGTATATTTTTCATTATCAATTACCTCTGGTGCTGTAAGGTAAAAATAAGATCATATTAAAATCACTGTCAACTTTTGAAAAATGAATAATCAAATGTGTAAAAGGTAATTCCGAAAATGAAAATGGTACTAGTTTTTATTTACCCATATATCCGACAGTGCCTACTCTTCCCCTAACCGATTCTCCTTCGGGTATCTCCATAGCTAAGCCAAGGTCCGATATCCGAACATGGCCAGCGTCGTCTAATAGAATGTTTTCAGGTTTGCAATCCCTGTACACAATGCCTTGAGCGTGTAAATGCTCTAATCCACATAACACCTATAAATCATATATATACATATATATTAAAAACATATAATTTAAAGTCTAACCAAATAATATGACAGTTAAAACAATAATTTTTTTAATATTTTAAGAAATCTTGAGCATTTAGCTCTTGCAATGTGTCACATAACACATAATTTAAATGAAACACTTTATAACAATCACGACAGTCAATGTAACGAATACCAATTGAGCCAAGAACATTTATAAATTATATTAAAAAACAATAATAAGAAGTTTCTTAATTTATAAAATATTTATACTTGTAACGTAAATTAAAACTTTATGCTATTAATATTTCAAATAATATTTTATAAATAAATAGAAAAATATTAAATAAAATACGTATTTAAATAAGTAAAATCAACATATTCTCAATTTCAATACTATAGCCAACAAATAAAAATATAAAAATAAACAATCAAAGAAAATCTAAATTTAGTTGACTTGGCCGAAAGTATTAAAACTATATTTAGACTTAATTTTTGATTGAATTTCAATAGACTGAACTTTTTACAAATAATTATATTTATTGGAAAAAATATTTAATTTGCAAAGCTGAGAAAATTATTATTATGTAAAACTACTTTTTTTTAACAAGCCGTATTGTCGTTGCAATGTGCATAGAAAATTATATCTAATAAAAAAAAAATTCTGTAGCATTTGGGCAATAGAAGAAAAGCCAAAATTGTATTAATATTTCTTATTAGCTAAATAAGTCCAGTTTTTTAGCACTTTACCTTACTTTGAATCAAGAATAAAACGATAATTTAATTTTTTCAAAATGTTAAGAATGCCTTTTTAAAATTAATTTTTTATTGTTCGCATATTATTATAGATAATTAGTTTAAGAAGTTAATTTCTGTTATCCTACCAACATTTTAATTTTGACTTATACCCTTCTGCCTTAACGCTACATAACTGTAAAACTATGATAAGATGACAAAATACATTTATTCTAAATGAGTTATATGTTTAAATTATGATTATAGTAAAAAATAACAACCTCAGCAGCATAAAAACGTGCTCTTGTGATTTCAAAACCCGGTTCTGAGCCCATATTGTAAATGTGAAATTTCAAGTCCCCGCCGTTCATGATGGTTAACACTAAGCATAATGCATCTTTTGTTTCGTAAGCATACGCTAAACTAACCTGAAACCAAATATTTATAATTAAAATATATGTACATTTGTTGCTTTTATATGTAAATGCATGATATTAAACTGTAAAAAATTACCACAAAATTAGAATTAATTTTTTGTAAAATTTGCTTTTCAATTAACACCATTGCTTCACCTTTTCGCTTTTTAATACGTTTTTTTTCCAATTTTTTACAAGCATACATTTTGCCAGTTGCTCGCACTTGGCAAGCGCAAACTTCCCCGAAGCCGCCTTTACCGAGCACTCTATACATACGGAATGTTTTGTACGTCACAGGTTGCCTATAAAACATAATTAAATTTAATTGTTACCTAAATATCCCTACGTGGACATTTAAAATGTCAACTAACCTTTCTAACCACTTCCATTGGAGAAACCTATGAAAATACATTGAAGACTCAAACAAGCTAAATGGACGGCCAGCTAGAAATGACTTCACAGCTGTTGAGCAATCAGTGAACAATTCTCTATGAGCAGATTCCAACTGTTCATGACATCTGGCTATAAGATCTTCATTTAAGACATCGACTGCATCAGGTGCCTAGTACCAAAAGTAGTAGTTAGTCAATAATTTCAAACATGACGTAGTAAGATAATATTATGAAACTTACATCTCTTCTAATATATCTGTCATAGAGAACTTTTGCGAGTTCCAACCTATTTTCATCAGATTCCACTTCATATTTTTCCTATTAATAAATACATTTTAATTACTCGTCATACATTTAGTTGAACAAAAAAATTGTTTTCAATATTTACGATGGAATTCAGGAAAACATTGTAGCGATGGAATTCTATTCGTTCTTCCTCGCAGAATTGAAGAAAAAGTAATCGTCCAATTGGTTGTTGATCGATTATGTAACTATATCTCATATCTACAAAAGAAATGTATTAAATAATACTCGACATTAAATTATTTAAAAAATACATTAAATCTATATATACATACCAATCAGTGGTTTTAAATCAACACACTGAGATATATGAGGAAACTGTAATATTCTTTTCCATTTTTTACTTTTTCCTTTATTGCTATCTGTCCCACCTAAAAATAATATAAGAAGTCAATAAAGTTATTTGAATTTGAAAATACTACATAGATAAAGTTACGAAAAAAAGTTAACATAATTCAATGTTTAGAATAATTGTTAGAGACTGTGTCTTTTAACATTTGTTTTAATCATTATAATGATATGCTTAATGCTATGATAAATATTAATAAATTGTTAACCATTTTCTCACATTTTTTACTTAAGTATTTCTTTTGAAAATTATCCAGACTACAAAAATCTGATACTATGTACATCATTTATGAAATTAGGCGACACGAGACTTTTGTTTAAAAGAGATAACATACCTAATATGAGTCTTTTTTTTTTTAAACTACTATTAAATTAGCTGTAGCTGAGTATGAACATCTCTTGATTAGTGAAAAATGTTTTCTCTTAAATCCATAGTATTTATGTATTTCTATTGTCTATGTCGCAAAATAGATTTAATATTTATCGATATATAGAGTAAAAGTTTAAAACTTAATTATAACACAATATTAGATATCCTTTGAATTATATACAATATATATTTTTGTTATCTCTCTATAAATTTATGAACAATAGATATTTATTGTTCTTAAATTAAATATAACTCTTTAGTGATGCAATAATTGGTAAAAGGTTTTAAACATACTATTAGCTAACTATCTTTAAAGTAATAAGGTACTGGGAAATCAATAGAAGAAATACGCAAGTTGTATAATTAAAGTTGTGTTTTGATTGACCATATTATCAAGGATAAACTAATACCCATTAATAGAGCGTAATTGTTTTATTTAAAAATAATTTGCAATGACAATTTAGATAAGTTAAAATCATAATGACACGATTTCCATGAATAATTAAAAATAATTCTACAGTAATTAATATTAAATCCTCTGTATTATTATCTCACTCATTGAATAATGCCAATTATTAACTAAATAATAAAGTTCATAAATAACTAACAATGTGTCTCTATATTTAATTATAAACAATAATTTCAATGACATATCATTAAATATACAAAATTTTAAAATAATATTACCATTTGTGAAATACAAGAGCTTTTTATACACTTAACACACTAATCTTTAATTTAAAAACTACTAAAATTATTTTATAATAACAACACATTTTAATTAATTTAGTTTATATAAAACACAAAAATTTTAAAAGCCTATAACAAAATGATCAAGTTATTTGTATCCAATAGTATCACTCATACTATTCCCATATACTGCTGATAGTTATAAGTGTTTTACAAGGGCAAAATACTGGCATTTCCAGTTTCAATAAATCTTACATCTGTATAAATAAATATATATTTATATATGTATTGAATGGGACTAGGGAATTGACAGAAAACAAATAAGTAATACCTATTAAAGTGTAATTAGTATAAAAACGCTGAAAACCCTAATCAAACAATTACATTAAGTTTTAATATTTCAATCACAACTTAACTGAACTTCTAAGACCTAAGAAATTATTGAAGGCCAGGTAAACAAGCTTGTCAATTAAACAATTAAGTATTAAATACGAATTTATTTCTCTAAAAATTACTTAGACAGCTGCCAATTGTAAATACCTAATTAATTGATCAATTAACTACTAACAAACGAATAATGTTTTATCGATCAACATAGGATAATTGGAACCTTCAGCTATTGGTTTATGTTATTGAAAACGATAGTCTTTAAGTAGAATCACTAATGATGAAACAATCAGAAAGGAACGGATTCTTTACTCAAGCCATAAATTCGATGAAATAAAAAGTCTCCGTATAGTGTCTAGCTGAAAGCGCGTAATAGGTATTATGGGCTTATCACGACATAGACGAGCCTTGATTGAAGGTCTTTGACAATAATTAACGTATGCATTATTATACACGTGTATGATATGTATGCATGTATAATATATATGTAGGTCATAACTCATAGTATTTGTGGGCGCATAACGGCGTTTGCCCCGATGGTTTAAGGCGAGTGGTAGTAAAAGGGAGCAACTCAAGCCTAAAAGGAGGAGGGAACGAGCCGAGGATAGTGTGTTGGAACGTCTTTGGAGTTACGGTGAATTCGAAATAATTTTTGCTCAGCTATAGGCGCCGTCCGGTGCTTACCTTCTCTTGCTTTGAGGTAGACGGTATTCGCCACAATGTTTTCCAATTCCATCAGTTCCAGTTTGGCTGATTTCCGGATGCCCGGGCTGACAACGACCACTTCCCATCAATAACACCGTTAACCGTTTTTGATTTGCGTTGCGTGTGCGCGCGCGCTCCCCCGATATTAAACAACAACGGCGGGCAAAATTTTTTTTTTATTATTTTCTCGCTGCAATTTGATTTTCTTACCGACTACTGCACCGCACCTTCGCGAACAACCAGCACAGCGCCGAACCCAACACAATACACGTACATACACCACACACGTATACGCCACTCGTTTGTCGATCAGCGTGCCGCGTTGATGTAGTCGACGCTGCCGCTACCGCCGCCGTTCGCTTCGGTTGTGCCGTCAGACAGTCCCATTATGGCCGTAGGCATACAACATTGAACTGCTGTTTGTGCGGTGCGGTGTCAATGTTCCGTGCGCCCCACTCGACGGCGGCGCGCGTAGCCCCCTCCCTCCTACGCCGCCACGTTGCCCCGACCCGACCCGGGTGATGGCCAGGCGGCACCGAAACGCGCGCGCGCCACCGCTCACCGACCGTCCCGTCCCGGCGCCCGTATTGCGCGTGCGCGCCTCACCGCTCTGCTCTCCCGCCGACGACGGTACACGGACACTCTTCGTAATCGGCATTCGGCCGCATCTGCCATCTTCACATCTTCGGCCTTCTATCTGTCTTTTCTTCTACCGTCTCCCCCGATCTCCTTGCTTACAAATTACAATCGTGTAATAAATAATAATTACTTATTATTATTGTTATTGTTAACGCGATCTCTGTATGCCGGCGACAACAGATATCGTACACAAAAAAACAATAAAGATTTTCGATCCCAGGGGCATCATTGTAATTGTTTTTTTATATTACATTATGGAGGGGTAATAACCAAACGTTCAAACCGGGCCAATTTTTTTTTCCCAAGCCCGGCCATTTTTTTTTTATGTTAGCTGTATATTAATCGAGTGTAGGTTGTGGGATTGGGAACACTTGGACATGATTTTGAATTTGAATTATAGAAAAAACCAGAAAACAAAATTATATTACCCGATGCGGTTCAATGTCACGTACAAAATACATATACATAAGAATTAAGGACGTAAAAAAGGTTGGTCTAAAACCTAAATCCCTCATACGACGTCCCTGAACAGATTACAATAAGACCGAATTGCATACATATCGAGTACATAATATCTACTATGTTGTAGTTTTAGGCTTTAGTTTTGATGCAGAGCTGAGATGATGTCTGTAAAATATTTTGTTCCTAATATTTTTTTGACTACCACAGACCACTAGACTGATTTCTTCAGGTAATGTTTTTCAGATCGGAAATCCGTACCCAAATAGTATTTTACATGGACTAAAAATGGAAAAATATTACCCCCAACTCTTCAAAATCGAGAAAAATATCCCAAAAATGTACACAATTTTTAACTTATAATTACGAATCACTATACAGTTTTGAAAAATATTCTAATTAATTCCTAACTTAAGTGGAATATTTTTTAAATGTAATACCGCCGATGAAGAATGAACAACTTTTTATTTATTTAGGTTTTTTTTTTTTTTGTAGTTTAAGGACTAAGTATTCAAGTCTAAGTATAAGACTGAAGGTAGATGAAATGTAACTCTATAGCATATACAATTTTGTTTAAACTAAATATTGTTTCATTAAGGAAAACTCTAAGAAATAAATTTAAAAACACAAGTCGAACAACAGTGTCTAATTTTTATCAAATTGTACATCATTAGTCACCTGTTAATATTTACCAACTTATTGTCCTGAAGAACTGTGACCTCCCCGCCCCTATAATATGTTTCATGCCCACTATGGCCCGACCCTGTGCTGGTCCACGTGACTGTGCTGGTTTCTTTAAAGTCCGTATACATTTCAACACTTCCAAGACAGTTTTCCAATGAACTGTTCCAAATTAATAATAATAATAACAATGATGGATCGATAGATTCGTGCGTTCGCTTTGATGTTTGGCACAGGGGTCGTTGCACCAACGTTAACTTACTCAAATGTATAGTTAAATAATTAATATAAACATTTTCCCCGAACTAATGGGCCGAAATTATACGGTTCTCGAATTGGATAGGACGTTTTGGCATACTAATATTATATTGTTGTAGTACCTACGGGCCGTAGGCGGAGAGTCCGACAAATATCGTTCGGTCGCTCCAAACGGGGATCGCGTTTAATGGGTTTCCAATCGGTCGAATTCCTTTCATACAGTGTTACATTTCACATTATATATTTTAAATTATACCTACTACTACACAAGAATGGCGTTATACATTTAATCGTTTTCAACGATGTAGCATAACGACTGCCGTATTAAGTACGAATTATTGTTAAGACAAAATTGTGTACGCGGCCGGTTCTCTTTTTGACACATCATTGTAATGGCTACTTTTTTTTCATTCACGTGTCCGGTGCAACGTTACAGTATACCCATAAGATTCAGGTATTATACTACCGTAGAATAATTACCAATTGCTGTGTACACAACTTACAACGAGTAGTACAAACACCCTTTCGTATGCGGTGGCAAAAATCCAAGAAAACATATATATATATATATATATATAGTTATGGGGGGATGAATGTCTCATCTATTGTATTGGGTTAGGTTCGAGAACTAATGTTTTGTTTTCCTTCGTTAAAATAAACGGTTTGCGCCCATAACTATACCTGCACCGATATTTTAGGAATTGAGCTATTAATGTGTGTGTGTGTGACGCGTGTGTATTATACGCAAAGGTATAATATAATATTATAATTGTGTACATCGTACACGCGGCATCCCGGTGACTTATGTATACACAATAATATATTTTGTGTGTATTTGTACTTACGGGCAAAGCAATTTAAAAATCATTAACCCTCGGCGGTGAACGGAGAGTGGCGACAACACTTCCGACAGTTTATTATTATATTACTTGCGGTTTATTGGATTCCGAGCAAGAATATCCACAAACTTTGTCGGTCCTGATCGAAATTTCGGTCCGCTTTCGCCGCGCCACCGTTTCCACTGGGGAATATTAAAAACTTTTTTTTATATACAAATATATTTATATATATTTAGCCCTTTTATGTATGTAATAGACGTGGTCCGCGCGCGCTTTTGGAGTTTTTATTGATTTTTTTTTTCTCTCTGGTGGTTTTTTCTTCGTTAAATTTTGATTTGTGTACAAGTTACAACACACGCCCCAAATTTTATAGGCCTGAGAATCGACTGGTTTTTTTAATCGTTTTTTCATAAATAATAAATAAATATATATATATACTTACATCAACTACATGAATGTACCTATAATACTGCGCGTTCGCCGCTTTTGAGTTCATTTATACACTGACATCGCCATTGTGTAAGTACAGTATAGTTTATTCTCAGTGCGGTGCAGAGCAAATCATATCGTCCGCAATCATCATCATATCGTATAATTTATTATTCAATGGAATTCCAATACTAATCTCTATAATATCCCTATAGACCATTTGTCTACATTCAACCGTCTATAATCATTATGAACTATAGTGTTAGAAAAACCTTTTTTAACATTTCACACATCTTTTAGCCGATCAACGTGCTCATATTCAAAATAAAACAGCGGTGGTAATAATTATGTTACCTACTTATCTCTTACACACAAACAAAAATTACTCAAACTTTTACCACCTTTTCATATTCCCATTAGACGGGCCTTGCCTTTGCAATAGAGGTCGACACGGCCTAAAAATGTTCGGCCTGCTCTGCTCTCCTCGATGAACTCATCCAGCACAGATGTTTGTAGTAAAAAATAAAAAGTTCATTGCCAAAATTGCCTGACACGAAGTTTTTCTGGAAAAAATAAGCGACTGACCATAATGTTAAGCGATTAGTTATTTACAAGTACCCTGAACCGCAAAATTCATTTTTAAAAAACGTTGCACTGCTAAATATTTTCCGTTGCAATAGCTAAATAGTGTAAGAAGCGCGCAGCGTTAGCGTGGGATCAGAGCATAACAGTATTTATAATATTATTTATTATTGTTAACACTACAGGCGATGAAATGGTAATAAATACTAATTAAGAGAAATACACTAGTGTAAAATCGCAGTGATTTCGTACATAAACCCAATCATTGGTTACATATGCGCGCATAGGCATACCTGTACAAGCGTGGGCCACATATACTCTAAGTTCGGCGCTAGGTTAATTATTCATTCGGTAGAACCGCATACCTACATACAGTTTAATGGACACCTAACACTTCTGTCGATGATGGTGCGCTTTAATCTATTTCCACGGCTTATACGTGTTATGTATATAATCTGTTACGGGGGACGAGATAATGCTCTTAAATGAGTTTGCGCATTTGATCACAGACATATTATCTTCACTGGACTAAAAAAAAAAAAATAACTATTTGTACAACGTTAGTTTTCTTGTTTGTATACGCGCAGTTACGCTCCGTGATTAAAATAATATGTGGTCATTTTTCATAATAAAGCTCTGTCAAAGGATCAGTTTTCATTCAACATTTCTGACGACTCCACTCCACTTTACAATAGTACCCCCGCATAGACTCACAACTGAGGTGTCATAGTCTATAGATTGTCATAGATTTTGCATGTACTATTAGGATATCATCGATTACGATAGGAGGATGAAATCCAGTTTGTTACCATCGTGTTTCATTTTTTATTAGCAAATAATTTTTTTTATAAATTATAATAATACTGAGTAATTACATTGATAATGATGATCCTACTCAACACGTGCATTCATTTGTATACACAAGTTAAATGTAAGAAAATCGATTTTTGTAATAACGGTTTAACCGCTATCTTTTTTTCCGTTATTATTTATTACACTTAAAATTTCAGTTTAAAAAAAAAACGTTATATGTATGTAATGAACTATAATTTTGGTCTAAATAGAATGATGAAACTCGCTGAAATGTTCACAAGGGGATTGTCATGGTTAGTTTGTTGTAAATACCTAATATTTAAATCCTATAACATGTTAATAAGTCTTGTAAAACCTTATTTTTTGTAGTAGGTACACTCACATCTCGTTGAGTATGTATAGGCTTATTTTTTAAAAATGGTTCTAAATGTATTGTTTTATGACCCAAACAAAACACTCCGACACGGAAGCTTAAACTTTAAAACTTAAAGACATGTCAATTGTTACTGATGAAATGCGTGACGTAAAAGGTACATAAAAATCGTCGTGTCTGTTTTATATGGCAAAACAGAAGCTGCGGATTTTATGAGCTAAAAAACAAAACAAGTATAAAACTGTTTTTTTATTTTATTCGAAAGAGTGAAAAATGTTTAAAGGATACAAAAAATATATAATATACCTAGTACGATACAGGTATTATTATTATTATGATGT